GTACAACAATGGTATAAGTGGTCTTCTACGACTCATTTTCTTTCCTCTAAAGTCTGATTTGGTTACTCTGGCTCTGATGGTTTTTTACTAGTTCTTCTTTTGAATTATATCCTAATCTTGCTGTAGACTTCGAGAAAGCATCATTTACGACTTTGGCTTTCCAGGCTTCGACGAAGGGAATACCGCTACGTTAAGAAATTTATAACAATATGGTCAAATGCTCAAGAACTCCACTGCAAGTATTTAAGTAACGTGATTGGCTGACATACATCAGATGAATGAATCAGCTGTGGGCTTTCTGGGGTGGCGGATGTAGCTCAGTTGAAGCTCCAGAAGTAGGCGAATTGAGTCATCGCAAGGATTTCCTTTCTGTGGTTATCCTAGGGCGTTTGGCAAAGACAAGAAGCTTCCATATTTTGCATTGCTTTGCAATTGATGATATGAAAATCCCATTGCACCTTTGCGGCGGTGCCAGAAGGTTAGACATGCGCAATTCACGCATCCTATCCAAAAGTTTTTGATCAACATAGCGCTTTCTCATTCTACTAGTGTACAATCCTTTACACACAATTTGCACCTCATGAAGTAGATGACTCTAGAACAAAGTGTCTCCTTGTCTGTCCAAAAGAAAGGTATACAGCATTACTATAGGCATGAAATACTCCCGGATTATATTGGACACTGAGACTTCATGCCATCTCCAGCCATATTGGATGACGGTGTGCTAAAAGTATCGTTCTGCTTAACTTCCCAACTGGTTCACTTAACAGGCCCACAAAGAACGCATACATTCTACGGCTTTAATCGAAAGAAAATTGCCTTTTTTTCTTTATTCCTGTTATGATCGTTCTCAAATAATGCCTTTACTCTGGGACTCGAGTTTAGGTGAAGGAAGCTTCCAGAAATTTAACCAAAAGTTAATGATTATCATGACAGGCGGCTAACCTAAGCTACGTTTTGGGGCAATGCAACCGCTTGCACCACCGGTCTCAGCGAAAAGGGACGGCTGCTTTGAACTTAAAAGGTAACCTAAAATGTTTGTAAGTAGCGGGCGATTGCTGGATGTGCTAAACACGGAAATCCTTGTGAATAAAATATAGCAATCAGATGCGAACTCATCTTTCACAGGTCTTACTTTAATCTCTATAGCTCCTATGCGTAATGAACATTTGTTTAGCCTATGTTGAAAATGTTACCTCAGACCCTTAGAGGCGAGAACGAGCGTTTTTGCCTACGTCAACTACTGATATATGCTGCCATTGCTAAAACGGTAGGCAAATTAGAAAACAGGCTTCGCGCGATTACGGTAGCTGAAGGAACACGTTTCTAGCTACTAATTGCAAGTTAAAGAAAATCCAGTTTCATGATTCGCTTTGAGAGCTAAGCATTTCTGGTTATCTGATATTGAAAGTGTGTTTCCATCAAACGAGTCAACGGACGAGGATCTTTGCATTACAATATTAGCAAGCGTTAAAATGTTCGAAATCATAGCAATCTTTTTTAACTCCGATTATGTTAGTAAGCTCAAAAGTTATAGATGCAAGTCTAATTCTGAGAACATCAATCTCTTACAACCTGAAAAAGTGTTGGGAAATTGCCGTTGCATTTCTCCTCAATGCTGCATTGACACTCAATGAGCTCATGTGTGATAAGAGGTCCACTGTAACTTTTGTTATATTTACTCCCTGAAGTGTCTTTTTGAAGATGGAAGAACTTCGGCAAGCGATTAACAAATACCTGTTGCATCCCATCGCGTGCAAAACCCCTGAAATGTTCGAGTTTTGGATAGGAGGTAGAAAAATTGATTAGGAAGGAGTACACTGGACTTCCAAAATTTTGCACACCTCTAAATGGCTCGAAACACCTATCTGCACTTTGATGGCAGGACAAGCGTTCATATCGGCTCTTGCAGTAACAGTGATCCGAGCGCAACTGGTATGAGGTGATTTACCTTCCACCTTAATCGCAAAATTCTTTGGTTTTTGAATTCTAGAGGGATTCGCTTTTCGAACAAACGAGCTTACTATTATACGATATCGAGAATCATCCTTCACGCAAGCAAGGTCGTCATAAAGCGTATATGAGGGAACGACGAGAACTAAGCTTGAGAATACAACATCGAAGAAGATCATGAATAAAAATGAACCTACCTATGAGAAAGTGAATTATTCTCTTGATAAGCATTATCATTAGAACCGCTCACTCTTTAAGAACTTAAACAAAGAGTAATAAAGCAATTACTCTCACTTTAAGCACTG